AAGACCCTCTATGAGATGGATTGATTCGGTGACTGGGGTAATCGGGATGGGTGTGTCAGAGGCGGTGCGGTTGGCGCAGGATAGAGCAGGGTTTAGGGCTATTGTGCATAGGGTCACTATGAGTCGCAAATGACTCGACGGCACATAACAACAACAACATTCAGAATTATGTGTCATTTCCATGGTTATATCATGCTTTTTCCGCATCTTCACATCTTTGTTTTTTGCTGTACTGTGCTCTAGCGCTCTCTTCATTTCGGTCAACAAACTCCCTTTACTCACCTCTCAGATTTGTATTAGACATCATCTTTTACAGGAAGCTTTCCCATGAGGTCCTTTACCCTTATCTAGTATGAATGGCCCTTCTGTGTGGGTTGTTTCCCCCTCCTCTTCCTATTCCTTGTACTTAGACTGTTTGACAATCAGTTATGTACATATCTATCCATACTCTCCCCCAGTAACTCTATCATGGTGGGAAACTGAATCTTTATCTTTTCATCGTTTCTCTTAGAACCAAATGTAGTGTGTGCAGTAAGATGCTCTGGAAATGTTTGTTGAATGAATAAATGAACGGATGAACACATGAATGGAGTAGACTCTTGAATTCACTTACCTATGTGAAGTCAATATACAGACCCTCACCCTTGTCAGCATGGCATATAACTCACGAAGCCAGTTTGCTCCCTCTAGGCAGGGCTGTACCCAAACTATCCTGAAATGATTAAGAATAGAAACAGATGAACTGGCTTTTTGAGTCATAGACCCTCTCCAGTCCTTAAAAACTGCAGTTCTGGAACAATAGAGCTGGCCTGAATTAATTGCTGGGCGGGGGGAGGGATTGAAACACACACACACACACACACACACACACACACACACACCCCACCCGCCAAGAGACACCAAGTTCTTCTACACCATCCGTCAGCCTTTAGCACAGATGGGATGGAGGCCAGGCCTAAAAATACACCAGCCCTAGGTGACATCAGAGCCGTGTTCGCTCATGTCTAACTTACCCCAGATGGAGGGGAAAGCATTTGACAAGCAGCCTTTGAAACAGAGAAACTCATCTCATGCTAGGAATGACTACAGGGACAAGAGGCCACTGCAGATTTCCCAGTCAATAGAAATGAATTCTGAGAGAAATTTCAATAAGGAGCCGGCATCCTTATCCTCATCATCGTGAATTCATGTTTATTAAGTGTCCAGCAAATGCTAGTCTCTGCTCAGAGTATTTGATAAACACCACTTATACACCTATAAGGGACTAGGAAATGCCTGTAATTTCGTTCTTGTGCCAGCTACCCAGTTAGAACACAAAACAAATGTTTAGGACTATTCTAAGGTACAAGGTTGGCGAGGGTTCATGCTGTATTCAAGCATCCTTGATTAGTGGTTTTCTCCATTAAGAATCTGATACCCTCCCTCTAAATATCCCCCCACTACTGACGAGGAAGAAGAACACGAGAAAAAGCACAAGGTCACAACAATTGGAGCTGGAGGACTCCACAAATATTTTGGAGTGGCAGGGACCAGCCTTGTCCATCTTCTGGACCTTTGCTGTACAATTATTCTAATCTATGATATAAGCTTTGGGGCTAAGTGGTAGACTTCAGTTACAGAACCCTGAAGAGCTGCATTCTCTTTATATTTGCATGAAGGAATGCTGTGCAACTTGGGAGCTGGGGGGCACCCACCAACGGGGACACACATGGAAGAGGAATTTAGTAAACAACCACCGGTCTATTGGCTTGTAAGAATGAATGATAGGTGAATGGAAAAGCATGCAAGCACTAGGTTACCCTATTGACAGATAGGTGATATAACTGGTCTTTTCCCGCCCTTTTCCCATCATCTCCACTTTCCTGCTCAAGCTCAAGGCTTGAGGCAGTGATCAAGCTCCAGGGCATAAGAATTGGTGTTCCTCATGATGCTCTCCACCAGCATGACTGGCTTGGGGTTTCTTCCAGCAAAGCAAGAAAGCCAAGTGCAGATCAACATGGCTGCGGCTGCTCCACCTCCGGCGCAGTAATAGGCCCACCCAAGCTGACAGGTACCTGAGGAAACAGAAACAGGGGTAAACATGAAGGTTAGCTTATCTTCTCATATTCTCTTTGGGTTATGAGGCTTAAGGTGAAAACAGGAAACAGTGAATGCAATGGAGCATCCCATTTCCTTTCTTCCTGGTCCACTGCTTTGAAAAAGGTAAAAAATTTTCTACAACAGTGACACCATGCAGTATTTGTCCTTTTGTGACTCAGATACTTCACTCAGCATAATGTCCTCCAGGGTCACCCATTTTGAATAATATTGCATGAGTTCCTTGTTTTTCAATACAGCGTAGTATTCCGTTGTGTGAATATACCATAGCTTCTCTATCCATTCGTTTATTGATGGGCACTTAGGTTATTTCCAGCTCCTTGCTATTGTGAACAAAGCCACCACCAGGGTTGGGGTAAGATTGAGAAAAACTGGATATATTATGTATTCTGAATTGAAACAGATAAGGGAGAGAACAGTTTAAAAGTGATATATGGTAGCATATTATGATTATCACAGGAATCCAGAATTAAGGTTGCCTAGTGGAGTGCTGGGGGGGGCAGGGGCGGGGTCGGAGGGGTTGTATATCAAAAAAGTTTATCTTTTGCTTTTCAAAGAGAGGAGTGAACTGGGAAGGAGCAGGGGTAGAGAAAAAGTACAACAATGAATGAATGGAAATCCAATATGTCTGTAAATGTTCATTAAAATAATTAAAAATAAAATGTTTTTAAAAAGAAAAAGGTCTAAAATTGTAATCTCCTATTCTGGTAGAATCCTGGGGGAAGGGGTGGCCGTGCTGCTAACAACGCTAAAGACAAGAATGACATTATAAGGTGTCAAACACCGTGCTGAGCTCGTTGCACGTATACTGATCATTACAGCCACCATGTGAACTAGGTATTAATTATCCCTGTTTTACAAAAGATGAGGCAACTGAGAGACCAACTGTTGTGTGTCACTGAGTCAAAACTGACTCACAGCTGACCTTCTAGTGGGTTTTCAGAGGCAGTAAATGGCATAGAAGAGACTGTCCATCCTTCTCGCACAAAGCACCTGGTGGAATTGAACTGTGTGCAATGGGTGGGTAGTATAACTTCTCACCACTAGGAAACGGTAGGATCGGGACACGTAAAATGGAACAACCATTCTGGAAGGCAGTTTGGCACTTCCTCAAAAAGCTGGACATAGAAATTCCATATGACCCAGCTATTCCATTGCTTGGAATATAGCCTGACAGTATGAGAACTGAGGCATAAACTGAGATTTGTACACCAATGTTCATAGCAGCATTACTCATCATCACAAGAACATGGAAAGAGCCCAAATGTCCAACCACAAGTGAGTGTATTGAGAAATTATGGTACATTCACACAGTGGAATACTATGCAGCACACAGGAGCAATAACTTTGTAAATTATTACCTGACTTGGGATGGACTGGAAAGCAGTATGCTGAGTGAACTGACTCAGTCCCATAAGGATAAATATTGTATAAAACCATTATTGTAGAATGAGTACAAGGATCCAAGTGGGGTGGGAGAGGCTGGAAGCAGAAGAATGTGGACGTGCAGGGGATTGATCAATGGAGTTGTACAATTTGTTAGGTGAAGGGGTGAGAGAAATTGAAAGAATTTGTTCTTGAAAACAATGTATCTGAATTTTGTAAATAAATTAGCAGAAAATAAAAAATAAAAAAAACCAAACCCAACCCAAGAAAAACCCTCCATGCTCCTAACGACAATGATAGAGTACAGTGCAGGCTGCTTTCAAAGAGACATATCCTTCATTACCAGATTTCACAAACAAGCTCAAATCCTTTGCCTCCACATGTCTCTATCCTAACTTGACCTTTCAACTCCCAGGGAGAAAAATACGCACTGGAATCAATGCTAAGCTTCTAAGTTAGGGTAGGATAGTTCGTTTCAGAGGAATAATGGGAAAGGCCATCTGCTTGGAAACATCCTCCCCAACACTTGTAATTCTGTCAGAGGTCGATTCCTCACTCTGAAAGACTTACGGTTTTCCAGTGTGCCCTCAGGATTCCTGGTGGCGCTGTGCTTAAGCACTGGACTGCTAAGCAAAAGGGCAGCTTTTCAAACCCACCAGAAAGATGAGGCATTCTGCTCCCTATAAATGATAACCTTAGAAACCCTTGGGGCACATGTACTCTCTCCTACAGGGTTGCTAGGAATCAGTATCAGCCCAGGAGCAGTAGATAGTGAGTAGGGTACCCTCAGAAAGCAAAAGAGTCCAGGGAAAGAAGAAGAGCTATTATTGTAAAGGGCATCTGGGTAACTGAGCTCAATCATGTGACTCGGCTACCATAACCTAGGAAATTGGACTGTTGTTGTTGGTTGTTGTTGGGTGTCGCTGAGTCAAAACTGATCCACGGCTGACCCTCCAGCAGGTTTTCAGAGGCAGTAAAATGACACAGGAGGAAACTGCCCATCCTTCTCCCACGGTGCAGCTGGTGGACTCGAACCGTGTGCCTTTGATATTGCTGTGGAGCTGCTTACCACTAGGCCACCAGAACTCCCAGTAATGCAAAATTGCAAAAGCGTCTTGAGAAAATAAGTAGGCTGGCACCTTCACTCATCTCACTGTCCTGTGGAAAGCTTACAAGTGAGGCTACTAAGACTGATCTCTATGACAATTCACCTTTTAAAAAGCCTAACTTTAGGGAGTTCTGTTGACTCAGTGGTAAGGACTTGTGCAATGGCTTCCAACTTAAGACTGCTCTGCTTTCTCATTCAGGCCAGTTTACTGTAATCCAAATTTTCTGCCTCAGAAAAAAATCTTTCTACTACATAGTCATCACTCATGCTAGCTCCCCTTCCAGAAACACTTTCTATTTGTTAGTCACTAATTCATATTGGCCTCAGAACACTATTCAAGACCCAGCACTTTCAGAAAGACTTGCCTGATTATCTCTCCTGGGCTCAAGTCACCTTAACCAAGTAGTCCTACAATAATTCATCTCTACACCCTCGTTACAGCTGTACCTGTGGATGAAACACTGAGAGGAAAAGTTTGTGTTTCACATTTTTAAAATCTGCTTTTTCCAGATTGTTGGTTCAACCATGTGGATACATTTGTCCTTTTTTTATTTTTTTTTTTAAACCTCTCAGAGTGTTCTGCCAACAGTCAGCATAGATTAGACTAACAATACTTCAGAGTTGGGTACATTTTCAATCCTCAACACCCAAAATTGTGGCCTACTAAGTTCTAAATCAAAGTTTTTAAGCCAGCTAAAATCACATTCTATTTGTTTCTGGACTGTTCCATAGACCTTCTCACATATATTTTGTTTCTTCTTCACAAAATGCTTCCTACATTTGGATGCACCTACTATCTGGCCATGTTCAATCTTCAAATAATTCATTAAAACCTTTCCTGGTTTCCTGAAATCACAGGACCTCATCTGTGGCTCTCATAGCACCTCATGCGTTTCCTTCTTATACTTCGAACAAAGGAAAATGTGAACAAATCCTTTACCCCCTTTTGGAGCAAAAGTCAAGTCATACTTCATCAGAGGAGATACTGGGACGGTCAGATAACTTCCAGAAATCCTGTGTCTGCATTAAAATTTATGGTGAGCACTTGAGTATAATGGCTATATAAGCAAGATAACCCTCAGAAAGAAAGGAGCGCAGATTTGAAGGAGAGGCCTCCTTAACTGGAACTATTTAGCTAAGTGACCACAACAGGAAAACAATAATGGATGTTTGGGATTGGCCAACCTGAGAATACTCTGTTATGGCAAGCAGGCAATAGCTCTCACACACAAACATTTAGCGTAGAAGGCTTTGGATGATGCTTTGGTTTCCATGACGTGAAAATGAAAAGCGCAAAGCTTCAACTTCTGCGATGTTGAAAAGAATGCTGCCTCCACTTTGCAGACAGCAATGTGCAGCTCTAGGCACTCTTTCAGAAGCAGAGACGTAGGAGCAGGGATCCAGACCAATTCTCTTTATCCTAATCCAGTCATCTAGTGATTTTCTGGTGTTCAAATGTCTGTTATGTAAGAAGTGAATGGAATCCAAAATCTCTGTAAATGTTCATTAAATTAATAAGATTTTAAAAAAACGCAAGAAAGGAAAAAAATATTTTGTGATGCGATGTGTATTTCTCTAAAAACCCAGTCAACAAATGGTGTTATCATGAACTGCATGAATTCCCAGAGCAGTGGGTTCACACAGCACAGGCAGATGGCTCTAGGGATTGTTATCCTGCTACTTGTTGATGTGGTCTGGGTGATTTCCTTGGCACTTACTTCGATATGTAATTTTATTCTAGGGCTGATCGTACAATGGGATAATAAATATTCCTGTTAACTTAGAGTATCCAAGTCACTATTATGTCACACTTAGGAAAACAGTATTTTCAATATTATGAAACTGCATTTTCTCTGATATTTAATTAATGTCACAGAGCTGAAACTTAAAGGATATTCTTTTTCTTGTTTAACACAGTTTTTGTGTATCTTTTAGAAAGGGTAATTCAAAACTGATACTTTAAACCTAATTTCTTAACACATCAAGGTTTTTCTATTAGTCATTTTAAAATGTGGTCTTTTTAAATAAATGTTATTTTCTAGTGGAAATATAGCAGTGGCATTTTCACATTTGGGGTTAAATCTTAGTCCTTCAGACATCTCTCAAGATTTCCTCTGTTGGGGAGACTTCTCCATAATTTTCAAATTAATCTACCATCTTTTGATATTACCATAACATCTTGTATGGTAATTGGGTACATTCCATGGTATCTACTTTCATGCAATTAATTGTGTCTAAAAACCAGGTGGAGGGTCAGCTATGGATGTTTCTGACTCTACGGTATACAACAAAAAGGGCAGGAAAGCCTGTACAAGGTCCGCTGCTTAGAAGGTTTTCACTGAATGCACAACAGAGAAGAGTATTGAGGGTACCATGGACTGCTAGGAAAACAAACAGATTCATCCTGGAAAGGGTCAAACTGGGCGGCTCCTTGGAGGCAAGGATTCTGGGGCTTCGTCTGAC